GTTTCTGAGAAAGTTCAGCCATATATCTGCGAATCATATTTCCTCACACGTTAACTCCCCTGTGACTGGCTAGTGATTTTCTCAAGGTTAAGCTTTGTTATTGTTTTTCCTATGACCTTGATTCAGGACGTGAACATTGATGTAAATTGCTGTCTACAATTCTGGCTTACAGACAGCTCTGTCATCACATGTGTACTTCTAGAATGAGAGTATTGTTGTGTGACAACAGTCTTTTCATTCTTTTCGTGATCTTGGCTTACGGCCCGGCCTGAACCAGATGCAATTCGGATGAAGAGAATGGTGAGATTTGTCAAGAGCTGTTTCGTTTATTAACTAGAAGTAAAACTCTATATTTCGATTATCTTAACAGGTGATCTCAATGTTTAAATAGGGGAAGTATATCGCTTGCACCTAGTGGAGAACCATGCCGAAAAACCGACAGCGGTGGTCATCTTCTACAATTCTGTTCAAGTAACCATCTATTCTTGGTTAGCAAATGGTTTTAAATATAAGGAGAGACACTAGACCTCCCCTACCCTGGTGACTTCCAACATTAAATCCACGTTGAGCATAAATAAATGGGAAGAGTTGGTAGCAGATTGCGGCTACTTCCGGAACAGCTGTGTAAACTCCTGTCACTCATTGGTGCGTGCACGTATATACCTTCGACTGAATGGACATAGAGAATAGGCAGCAACGCCTGAGACAGTTACGCCTCCAACTTTATGAGAATATGAAGTTTACATACAGGAAAGAGATAACCAACTAAAGACGTATCTGAGATTGACAGTAATAATATCCATCTTAAGGAAGCCTGGCATCATAATACCTAGTCTGCTGTAGAAAGTAAGCACCCCAAATTGTAGGGTGCTTACTGTCGATGATTCCCAAACTAGGACGAAACAGAGCTGTTCAGTACTCCAGTGTTGGTTTTCAATGGTTCTCTAATTGATATCAATTCGTATAAACAAATTTAATCCTTACAAACCAGCTCTTGAAAATTACAGTTATCATTATTCGTCATAATTTATACCCTTCATGCAAACATTCTCTCAATACTATCGAATTTTCCATTTATACTATCCGGACTTCTTATTATTAGTGATATTATCGCTTTTTCTCAATATATGCCTTCCTCCACCTGTTTCATTTCACACATTTGTTATTTCATTACGAACCCCTCTCATTGGAGTCTTAATATCTCCTCCTCTTTAATGCATACCACTTTGTACTAGCCACTCACCCACCTGACACCTTTAGTAACCTTGAACTGACTTACTTGTCAATTTTCCTACCCCACATTCTACGAATCTATTATGACGACTAGTCACCACCATTGTCTCGCATTTCACTGAAATATTTTGTATTCGATTTCAACCTATCACATATTACATATATATATATATATATATATATCACGTTTGTCACACAAATACCACTATTTATTTTGACACCCAAAACTAATTTGTTATTCCACGTAAATTCAATTTGAACGAAGAATATTCTTTTCAATACATCCTTCTCTTCAGGTTCTTACAATTATAAAATATAATATTTATTGTCGTTACAATAATGATAGCCAGTTATGCGCGTCTGCACGTCTGTCCCTATCCTTCAGTAGCCGTCGAATGTTCACCTAGCAACTCAAAGATGTCT